CAAAAGAAACCGGATCAGATATGACACATTTGGCATTATAGGGTTAAACAAACGGCATCAAAACAAAGACAACTACACATTCATCCGTCTGGTTTCTCCTCCAGCAGGACTCCATTAAAGACACAATCAGGAGAAAATGATCACTTTGTTGATCACGCTGTTTTGGGTGTTCAGTTCCATCATTAATGTGAATATTTATTGAGTTTGGTCAAATCTTAGATCCTCAATCATCCATTTCTTCATAATTATTTAGTTTAGATTGTTTATGACGTAACATTAATCTATTTAAAACCACATTTCTATAATATAAAAACACAATTTTGTCCTCAACAAATCTCCCAACAGGGGCGTATCTATGGTGACATGTCAGGGGGGGCTGGGCCCCCTTGATCCAGTCATGTGACCAGTTAAAAACTACATTTCTTTAATACAAAAACACTATTGTATTCTTGACAAATCTCCATGGTGACATGTCAGGGGGGGTGGGCCCCCTCGATCAAGTCGTATGGGTTAAATAATTAAATAATAATATATTTTATTAAATAGTAATTAAATAATTTAATAATAATAATCATGATAATGATAATGATAATGATAATAAAATAAACACCTCAAACCTACATTTTGAAGCCAGTGGGCAGCTCATTTGATACCAGAACTGACACCTACACCACATGTAGGTCTATACTATTCCCCCTAACTTTAACCCTAACCCTAACCCCCCTTTGGGTCAGTGGGACTAGCTTGGCAATAGATCCTAGTGATGGCGAGATGAAGCTTCATAAAGCTTTGAAGCGTTCCATCCAATTGGTTCACTCGTGTGTTGAAGCTTCATGGTGCTTCATTTGCTCTGTTCTGCCCCCTGGTGGAATATAAATGTTAACGTACAGCGTGGTTATAACAAGACTCTGGCTTTGGTGTCTGAAGCATTGAATTAATTAATCAATGATGTTTGTGATGCTGCCGTTACATTAATAGATGGATGGATGTTTGTGATGCTTATACATAAACTATAGACTTTTATATGGTGTCTGTCTTTATGATACAATGACAGGGAAGCTTGAATAGATCGTTAACACACTCTTAATTAAGTCCCAAGTCCAGAAAATGTGAGTGGGGGGGGATTCATTGCGTTTCGCTGGCCCTTATATTTCAAATAAATCGCCAAACCGGCCGAACCACTTCCTGAATCAGTCACGAGGCTTCAAACGTCACCATTTAGGTCATCGACACAAGCCTCGATACGCGCTTCACAGTGAAATCATCCTGGATTTCTCGCCACGCGCTTCGAAGCCTCGATACAGAGGGACACATCACTAGTAGATCCTGGTGTGTGTTCTGGTTTGGGACTGTGTTCTGGTCAGAGATGTTCAGTAACGTAGTAGAACTACTTAAGTACTGTACTTAAGTACCAAAATGCAGTATATGTACTTTATTGGAGTAGATATTTTTTCCCCTACTTTTACTTTTACTCCACTACATATTTTTGATTATTTCAATACTTCTACTCCGATCGATTTTTCACGGGCTGAATCGTTACTCGTTACTGAAATGTAAACGTAACGATAGATAGCTCTGTCACGGTTTGGGAAGCTGGCTCCTCATTGGGCGATTTGAACGATCAAGCATAGCCTATTAAAAAAAGCCTCCTGAAAGATTTTTAATTATAGCCTTAAAAATTCTGCATCTAATCTGAAGAAGTATATCAAGGTAAATTAAAAAATACAATGACATATAAGCTAGTAAATAAGCGTTAGCTCACTTCTCCCTGTTCACTCAGGACGTAGCAGCTAACGTTAGCTAAAGCTAACCTAGCTGGCTAGCTGTATGATAACGTTAGCTAAAGCTAACCTAGCTGGCTAGCTGTATGCTACATGCTAGCATAAAGGGTCAGCTCAGGATTATGACTCTGGAATAATAAATAATAGTAGATGAAGTGCTGTTGATTGCTAATGCAGATGTAGTTTTCTGTTTTTTGTAAACACCTGTATGGCCTTTTACACGTTTGAAATAATATAAACAATATCTATCAAATTTTTGACTGCCTTTTTAAAAAATATACACAGTACTTGTACTTTTACTTATGCTTGTACTTTCAATACTTGAGTTAACATTTTTGAAATACTTCTACTTGCAATACTTAGGTACAAAAAAAATGGAGTACTTCCGTACTTCCACTTAAGTATGATGTTTAAAGAATACTTCTACTTTCACTCAAGTAAATTTTTTTACATAGTACTTGTACTTCTACTCCACTCCTCTACTCCAGTACTTTACACATCTCTGGTTGTGGTTACCCTGCAGCATGTTCCTGTAGGCGTTGTCTGTGATGGAGTAGATGTGCGGCGGCACCTCGTGGCGCTTCTTGCCCTTGTACATCTCGATGATCTTCTCCGAGTAGATGGGCAGCATCTTGTAGGGGTTCACCACCACGCAGAACAGACCCGAGTACGTCTGTAGGGGGGGAGGTTATCCTTTTAATCTCTCTTAAACTAGGAAATAAAACTATTTATTTTGAGGATATCATGTCTGAAAGTGGAAAGAGTGGCAGCAGCTCCAGTGAGAAGAAAGAACCAAAGATAATGATACCTTAGAAATATAAGGGAACTTATGAACATCCAAAGTTTTACCAAAAAAATGGGTGTAATCGGAAATATATGCTTCTATTATGTTTAACCTGTTCATTCAAAGTTTGTGTAAACCATCTTGGTATCAGATTGAAGAGCACTGTTAGGATTTATAAGAGGTGGAAGCATCACAGATGACCAGGAAATGAGCACAAAAAAGGGTGAAAAGAGCAAACACGGGCCTTAAAAAACTAAGAACAATTTTAAACTGTAGTAGATATAAAACTTTGCTTAAAAGGACTAAAAAATAAGGCCAAAAGACCACAAAAACAGCTCAGGTTAGCTAAATCAGAGCTAAAAAAAGGTTAAAAAGACCAAAAATTAGTTTAAAAAGACCAAAAATCTGGACAAAAAGGACCATAAACAACACAGAAACCTGCCAGAGTTCCCACTGAGGGTCAGAACCTGAACTATGCTAAAAAGGACTAAAAAAGGCCAAAGGACCACAAAAAAAGCTAATCTGAAAGCTCTGATTTCTGAGCTCTTTGAACACAACAATGATTTTACTTCATCTCAACACCTAATAAAGATGATTTTCTACTTAATTCCCCACACAGATGTTCCTCCTCTATTTAAATGGATCATAAACAGTATCCTCTCCTTTCTCAGGTCACATGGGACAGCAGCCCTGCTCCCATTGGCCCGTTTGAATGACTGAGCCCTGGTTTGAATCCTCTCCTCCAATAGAATCAGGCTAACACGGACTCGCTTCTTACAGGAACCAGGAAGCGTGACCATATAAGGCCTATACTGGCCTCTTTACATTGGCTGCCTGTTTCTTATCGAATAGATTTTAAGATTCTCTTATTAACTTATAAAGCTTTAAATGGATTAGCTCCCCTGTATCTTCTGGAACTTTTACAATTTCAGTCCGTGTCCAGAACCCTACGTTCTAATAATCAGCTTTTACTGACAGTTCCTCGGACCCGATTAAAGAGGAAAGGAGATGGGGCTTTTTCTGCTGTTGCTCCTTCTCTATGGCAGTGTTTTTCAACCCCTGGTCCTCGGTACACTAGTGTGCCGCGAGTGATAGACAGGTGTGCCGTAGAAAATCATCCTATTTCACCTAATTGGTCTAAAAAGATTTTTTGATAAGGAATTAATTATCTGCAAATCATTTTTGAGTGTCTGTGCTGTACAAGTGACTGGTGGAATAATCATGTAATAATTCCTTATGACTAGATTTTGTATATAATTTTGTATATTGAAGTGGACATGTTAAGTACAATTTGAAAGAAGAAATATAAAATAAGATAAAAATACATTTTTTTGTTTATTTGATTCCTATTCAAGACACGTAAGATAAGATAAGAATAAAATAAGAATAACTATAGTGTTACTATAGGCGGATACAGATTTGTTTAACATTTTTGGTTGGTGGTGTGCCTCGAGATTTTTTCAATGAAAAACTGTACCTTGGCTCAAAAAAGGTTGAAAAACACTGCTCTATGGAACAATCTACCTTTCCAAATTAGATCTGCCCACAGCCTGGATCATTTCAAATTGCTTCTTAAAACTCATTTTTATTCCTTGGCATTTAATTGAACTAGTGTTTGATACTTTGTTTTTATTCATTTGTGTTGTTGTCACTCTTGGTGCAGTTCTATGCCTGTTTTAAAGTGCTATATAAATAAATTTGACATTGACATTGATATTGATTCTCACAAAGACAGATTTTTCGTTTCATGTAAAAACTCTAGAGTTTCTCACATAAATCAGGCTGGAGAAATATCTCTCCCGCAGGTTTTGCAGGACTGAGGCTTCGTTGAGGAACGTGAGGGCGGCCATGTCCTCCACTTTGCTGAATTTGGGCGGGTTCATCTTCTGGATGTCGTCTTTATTGACCGTCACCTTTTGGCCGTTGGAGAGCTCCACCAGCACCTAATAGAAATACAGAAATACAGAAATAGCCCTTTTACATTTTTTGAAATTGTTTTTATGAATATCAGAGGAAAGTCTCTGCTTTTTGTGCATGTAGGGTTCAAATTGATGTAGTATTTTTAACTCATTGGCTGCCAAAGACGTCTATAGACGTCTTTTATGTTTTTCAATGCGAGTGGCTGGGGAACGATCGGCTACAGTTTTTCCGTAAATATCGGCTTCCAGACAGAGTATGTAGTAACAAATTGACCCTCTAGGTAGCTGTGCCACTTTTGATGGGAGATTAGCATAGATTGTAGGCAAATAAAAACAAACGCAATGGTTCGCTATGCGAGAAATGTCGCCGGTGAGACGCACGTCGAAGAAGAACGGAATAAGGTAGAAACAAAAAATGTTTCCTGATGAAAGAAGAGAGTCTACTCTTTCTTTTGGTGTGTTCGGAGTTTACATAGTCATAGCACAAACTATTCTGTGGCTCTTGAAAAATCAGTCAAAATGCTCAAAAAACTCTGGCAGTATGGGACTCTGTTCTGAAAATGGCTGCCAGTCAATGAGTTAATACTGTGAAAAAATGATAGAAGAATGAAAAATGTGTGTCATGTTAATACTACTGGATCTAATAAAACCAAACGGCTCTGTCTGGTTTTCTGCTCCCAGTTTAGGCAAAACCTGTAAATCCTGTGGGGCATCAACAGATTTAAAGGAGCACTGAACAAAAAATTTAATAAATCTTTAAAAAAAACTCACTCTTATTCAGTTTTCCTTCCATATCTGTGAATATTTTTAAAAATTATTTACAGATTTATGTTTTTTTTCTTTGCTGTAACCAAAGCTATTAAAAGACATGTAGGATAAATATTAGGAAAACATTCATTAAATTAAACTCACTTAAATTAAATTTGATTCAAATGAATATATAATAATATAATTAACGAAACTGTAAAAAAAAAAATATCTGAAACCAAATCAAAATTTCCAAAACCGGCCCAAATGAAACTTGATTAAATTAAATTACATTTCACAGTTAACTTGTCCTTCCTAAAATTAGCTATACTTAATTATATATATTTTTTTTTAAAGAACCAAAATAAAATAACAAAGATGATCTTAGTTATATGAAATTAGATGTGACTTAATTCACTGACATAATTAAAATCTAACCAAACCAAGTGAAACTGAACTGAATTGGGGTAAGATCGCCGAAAATGTCTTTTCACCAAAGCAAATTCCTTGTATGTGAAAACCTACTTGGCAATGAACCTAATTCTGATTCTGATTCTGATTCTGATCTCCCCTCCAAAGCGAGTCCCTTTAGCCCCCAGAGCCGATTTGACCCTTCAGGTTTCTATCTGGTGAGGTCCTCCCACCTCGTCGCCCTTCTCCTCCCGGACGCTGGCCGCCTCGAATCCTTCCCTCTCGGAGGGGACCCACACCATCTTCTTGGCCGCCCAGTCGGCCTGGGCCACCCCGCTGTTGCGGAAGTCGTTTTCCAGGAAAAGGTACTTGCTGTCGTCAGCAGCCGGGTCGGCCATGTTTGCTGGGTCGGCCTGTGGGATGAAAGCGTCGGGTGGATCTGTGGGGATCTGGCTGAGGTTGGGTTCCTCGTTAGCGTCGGCTTTTGGATTGGCGCTGGGCGTTGAGTTGACCTCTGACCTCTCTCTGAATGCTGTCCTGTGGACATCAAATGCATCGATCAGTTAATGGCTGCCTGTTTGATAAATATAGTAGGTGTTTGGGATGAAATACGTTGTCTGTTAGGGGGGGCCAAGGCCCCAGGAGAACATGTTCAGCTACAGCCCTGGTATGACTCTAAGAGGATCCAGGCCTTGGATGGGCAACGCCTGGATAGGTTAGTTAACCCTGCAAAGCCTGATCCAAGAATAAAACAAAACAGAAAATTACTTTTTTTGTTGTTTTAATTCTTTATTTGGCCTTTTAACAAAATATTTAAAAAGAAAAAACTAAAATAAAATGTTAATATTAATAATTTATTACTATGCGATAAATCAAGATTTTTTTTTTGTAGCCTTCTGCCATCGGTTATCAGGTGTATCTGATTGTGTACAATAGGATTTTGAGCAACGTTTTTACCGTTAAATTATGCAAAAGGTGTCAGATTTAAAACATTTCAGAAACTGTATGAATCAAATATGATGCATTTGGCATTACAGGGATAGGCAACGCCTGGATAAGTTGGATAGGGATTGCTTGGATAGGTTAGATAGGCAACGCCTGGATTGGTTGGATAGGCAACAACTGGTTTAATTGGATAGGACATTTCTGGATAGGTTGGATAGGAAATTCCTGGATAGGTTGGATAGGAAATTCCTGGATAGGTTGGATAGGCAACAACTGGTTTAGTTGGATAGGCAATACCTGGATAGGTTGGATATGCAACAACTGGTATGGTTGGATGGGCATTTTTCTTTTTGGAACCTGAGTTAACCAGAAATCGAGCCTTCCTTTTGAGCTCCTTACCCCCGTGTGGATAGCTGAGGCTTGTTGTTCCTAAACCACCTTTGGGGGATCCTGACCCTTTCAGACCTGAGACGCACTGAGCTACAGTCATGGAGGTGTTAAGACCCGAATGTCCCTTCTGAAATCCTTACTTTTGACAATATTTTCTGCTTTCAGTTCAGCTTTAAGGACAAAAAATTCCCCAACAGGTTTTCATGGTAGTGGTCATAATGCTATGGCTGATTAGCAAACTCCCAGAAAAACTTTCAAGGCAGCATAAAGACACTCTATACTAATCCT